TGCTGCGTCGTGCGTGTGTTCGCGCGTGTATTGGCCGTGTATGCATGCAGGCGAGCGATGGAAGGCATTGCGCGTGGTGCGTCCCTGTCTGTCTGTGTCTTTATGTTCGCGCGAGTGCTGTGCTTTTGCGTGCGTCGCACGTGTGTGTGTGTCGTGCGCTGCGTGCGTGCGTGCGTGCGTGCGTGTGTGTGTGTGTATAAGTCAGCTCACTAGTTTTGTAATATGACTCTACCGTTTCTATAATCAGCCTAACCTTACCGCCCTGCGCATTGAAGCATCGCGTGCGCGCGCGCGTGTATGTGTTTGTGTGTTTGTGTGTGTGTGCGCGCACACGTGTGTGTATGTTATGTGTGTGTGTGTGGTGTGCGCGCGTGTGTGTGTACGTGCGTGCGTGTGTGCGTGCGTGTGTGCGTGCGTGTGTGCGTGCACCTGTATGGTACGTGTGAGCTCATATATATCTCATATCTCATATTAGATTTTTTATATGATAAAACCTTTATTCGCCGGACACAAACTTGTGTATGTGTGGGGGGGGGGGGGTGACACACACACAATATATATAATAGTAATATTAGTGGGATGTATATAATATCTTAAATAACCTATATCTAAAAGTGCTGTGACGCAATACATTGACAATTTAAATATCAGAATTACATCATTTGCTATATTATCACAACTTGGGGAAACTGCTACTTTGGTCACTTTTACATAATCTCCCTAGTAGTACAATCACACACCTACCAATCATGAATCCTATACCTGGACAACAAACAATAAAATAAACCACGTATACGATGCAATATTCTGCACAGCTTCCTGTTAACGGGTACCAAATCAGGGCCGTAGCCTGTGGGGGAGGGGGGGGAGGGGATTTGTGAGCAAAATTAAAAAATAAGCTTAGCTAATAATCGTAAATAACCCTAACGTGATTTCTTGGTCACTTATCCGTGAAAGCCTTGTCTCAGACCCACGCCACCAAACCAGGGACATCGATCAAGAGCTGCGCCCGTCGCTCATTATTAGTGAGTATATAATTTGTCATGAAATTTTGCCCCCCCCAGGAATTTGCTCAGCCTACGGCCCTGCAAATTGGTTATTGATTCTTATTTGCTGGGGGACATTCTTACTTGGTACACTAGCACTTCGTTAAGTATCACCACACAATGCTTTACACACAGTGCAAGCCTACAGACATTTTGGTCGAAAACTCACTCCACTGGCACTGGACTTACGTGTGCTGCAATCTGGTGCAGCCTAATACTGATAGTATATGCAGGTAACAATGCAAGTAACATTCGTACAAACTTATGTATATATCATATTTTTTGTATTTTTTGTCACTTTAGACCTCTCAACTTTAAAATGATGGCTACATAATAAGCACTGAAAGACGCCGACACCTGGTCTCTGGGATTTAGTAAACCAAACAATTATTAAATAAATTCTAATATAATGTTTTGATTTGTGTAAAGTCTTGATTCACGGACAGCCACTCAATCAACAATGACGACTACTCAAACCATCACGACGATCACTTAGTTGTCACTGGTGATCGGTCAATATACTCTGTGACCAATCACATCACATTAATAACCGGACACGTTCACACTATCAAGTGAAAAGTACGGACTGTTTCCGAACCACAGACAAGAAATTACTGACTACTATGGACAACTACAAGAGTAAAGTATCGCACACATTTTAATAGTTGCCCATAACACCGGCAAGTGAGTGCTGATCTCTGCTGAACAGTGCAGAGGCCATTTGAGGGTAGGGGGTATGCTGTTAGCTCAATGCCAGCAAGTAATACATACACTCGTGGCCCGTGGGTACAAAATAGCACCGTTTAGTTATGTGCTTGTGTAACTCTGCTTTTTTCTTTCAATAGGTGAAACAACAAACATGCTCATATAATAAAATAATTTTCGTCAGTTTTTAATTAGTTTGTGTCCCGAATAAAAGTTTTATTCAGTAACGATCGATCTAATAAGATATATGAGATAGATATAGATTTAATATTCCTTTAATAGTAATCATTGTGGGCATGTGTGCGTGCGTGCATGTGGGCGAGCAAGCTTACACCATACACGTGCACGCACACACACACACGCACACTCACACATGTACACACACATTGCACACACAAACGTACGCATTGCTAATGGCACTGAGCTAACAGACTGCCACCTCATCAGCTGGTACATGCAAAGTTTGGCACTAACTCGCTGACAATACGTAAAACTGTAAAAAAAAAGCTCAGCGAAACTCTTCCCTTATTTGGCTGTGCGACTTTGCACATACACGTATAACACGTTTTCTCTGCATTTAAAGGGCTATCACTGAAAGGTCCGTAATTGTCCGTAAGTTTCGCTAAGACTTTCTTAATTGTCTGCAGTTGCCTGCGGTTGCCAATAATTTGTGTCCAAAGTTCATAAAAGGCTGTACTTTTCACTTCATATAGTATCAGTGGTGATTATTACTTGCTGCAGTGATAGAGATAACTTGGTTGATTTCTACACAACCGTGAGGTTCAAACGTACCTGCTAACGTACCAAGTTATCTCTATTATCACCCAACCGAATGAACTTATAGGGATTGCTGCAGTGATGAAGTCAAGTTTCAATGACAACATGTCGCAGCCGACTGGTGACCACTCAGGCATCACGGGTGACTACCCAGGCTTCAATGACAACAGCTAGGTGACATCTCACTTATGACCACTCAGGCATCACGGGTGACTACATGTGAGCTCATATATATCTCATATCTCATATTAGATCGATACTGAATAAAACCTTTATTCGGGACACAAACTGTGTATGTGTGGGGGGGGGGGTATGATGAGTCACGATTACGCTCGCGTGTGTACGTATATACATATATTATATATACCCACTCGAAGCGATGCGCATATTATGCTTAGTTAACAACGTCACGCATTTCGCAATAGCCTTGCAAGTTATATAGTAACACCGCGCTATGGCTTCCACCTTTCGATGTGCTTCGTGCGCACGACAGGTCTGATCTTCGGTGCCTACGGGGAGCGATGGAAGAACACACGTAAATTCACCATGACGGCGCTGCGAGACTTCGGCGTCGGCAAGGCAACGCTAGAAGAACGCATCATAGCGGAGCTGGAGGCGGTCACTGAGGAGTTGGATCTTACGAAGGGAGCGCCCTTCAACCCAAGGCGCATCATGAAGCAGGCTGCTTCAAACGTCATCTGCTCCATTAACTTTGGAGACAGGTAGAGTAATCGAATTCGCACGCTAGAGCAACGTATCCTGAGAACTACTAGTCAACTTGTGTTCGGCAATCATTAATAAACGATACCAAATGTGCTTTGATTGTTTAGAAATTATAACGTGACGTGCTACATCTCTCTGTTTCTCGCGCATCTCGATCGTATCTAGTCTTGCATCTAGTATACCTCTCGCTTGCTAACCTTCTCCGTGTTAATAACAGATTCGAGTACAGCGACAAGAGGTTTCAGCACTTGATGAATTTGACCGATGAGCTCTTCTCGATGAGAATTATAACGAACGCGGTTAACGTGATGCCAATCCTACGCTTCATCCCCAACGGCATACTACCAAAGGCCCTCGCCATTATGAAGGACATCCGCAAATTCACGCAAGAGGTTCGTCAACAACACTGAAAGATTAAATCATATATTGCACCTTCATATATATAATATATATATATAAATTGCAAAGTTTGGCACTAACTCGCTGACAATACCGTAAAACTGTAGAAAAAGAAAAGCCTCAGCGAAACTCTCCCTTAGTTTGCGCTGTGCCGACTTTGCACCATACACGCTATAGACACGTTTTCCTACTGGCATTTAAAGGGCTAATCACTGAAAGGTCCGATAATTGTTCCTAAAGTTTCGCTAAAGACTTTCTCTAAATTGTCTGGCAGTTGCCTGCCCGGGTTGCAATCAATTTTGTGTCCAAAAAGTTCATAAAATGGCTGTACTTTTCACTTCACTAAGTAGTATCAGTGCTGATTAATGTTCTGTGCGCAGTGATAGAGATATACTTTCGTTGATTGCTACACAACCGTGAGGCTTCAAACGCTACCTGCTAACGTACCAAGTATCCTCTATTATCCCCAACCGAATGAACTTATAGGCATTGCTGCAGTGATGAATCAAGTTCAATGACAAACGCTGTCGCCAGCCGACTGGGTCAACTCGGCTCAGGGACTCCAGCTCAGACAACAGCTACCGACATCTCAAGCACTTCAGACCAGCCGCTGACCTACCCAGGCTTCAATGACAACAGGCTAGGTTGACATTCCTCACTTATGACCACTCAGGCATCACGTGCGTGACTACCCAGGCTTCAAATGGACAACAGCAGGTGACATCTCACTTTATGCACCACTCAGGCATCACGGGTGACTAATCCAGGCCACAATGATCAAACGCTGAGTGACTCTCACATTATGCAGGGATGAGTGCCTTGCGCGAATGACTGGTCATGCTTGCGTGCGAGGATGACCGTTGTGACAAACCGCGAGGGAAACATCTCATCGTTTACGTACTGTGATTCACGTGCGCAGCCAGGAAACTGATCGATTCTGCTCAGTCGGAGAGCCGTCGCCTATGACAATCCCATGCAGCCTTGGAAATCCACAGGCAAGTACAAGGAAATGCAATAGCAAGACGAGAGCACTGCACAGTAAACTCTCTAGTTGGCCCATGACAACAGCCTGTCTCCATTTCTAACATCGGCAGGCGAGTGAAAGCCTGGCGCAGGGAAGAAGCAAGCTGCAGAGCAAACTACTAATGATTTCTTATTCAATTAAAACCAACTTCACTGCTACTTACAAATAGTTATATGCTATGCATTAATAAAATATGGCTGGCGGATATTTTATGGCATCATGCATTGGTCAAAACGCGTCACGCTGACATGCGTTGTTGTTGTTGATAATCACGCCAACGTGTCAAAAAGCGCGCTAAAACAAGTTATATTGCACAGGCTCGCGATCTATGTTAACAATTTACAATAATTAAGGCAATCAAACTGAAGATTTTCGAGATGTAG